ATTTTGGGATGCTCTGAGGAGATGGATCCAAATCCTGGAGATTTTGGGATGCTCTGAGGAGATGGATCCAAATCCTGGAGATTTTGGGATGCTCTGAGGAGATGGATGCAAATCCTGGAGTTTTGGGATGCTCCGAGTAGATGGATCCAAATCCTGGAGGTTTTGGGATGCTCTGAGGAGATGGATCCAAATCCTGGAGGTTTTGGGATGATCTGAGCTGTGGATATTCTTCATCCACTCAGCGATTCCTGCCCAGGGCAGATTTCCTCCCCATTTCTGGTTTCCACAAGGAAAAGTCCTCCTAAAAAAAAGGAGCAAAAAGGTGCTGTAGAGTTGTCACCTGCTGTAGGGATGTCACCTGCTGTCCCCTTTGGGGCTGTGGGGCTAAATAGGGGGTCACTTGCCTGCTGACCACACCAGTGTCCTCAGCCCACCATCCTTTGAGGCACCACATGTTGGAGGCTCCCAAAATTAAAAATAACCCCCAAAATATCTTGAATTTCCCATGGTGCCAGGAGAAGCAGGGTTGGCACCAGAGATGAATGAGCTGGGCTTGCACACTTTGAAGGTGATACAAGGCCAGAATCCCTGCTGTCCTGAAGTTCATGGGAGCTTGGCCATGGAATTCTCTCCCAGCAGAACCACCCATTGCTCCTCAGGCATCACTTTTGGGGAGCTCTTTTTGGGCCTGTTGGCACCTGCACTGCTCAGCTCGTGGCTGGTGCCAGGGCTGATGCTGGGGAATTCAGTTCCCAAGCTTGTGGCTGGATGTCCCGGGAGCCTCAGGGAGGGTGGGGTGCTGGGCTGGACTGTCTCCATGGAATCACAGGGAGTTGGGATGCAGGATGTGCTTCATCATCTCCATCTGTGCCGTCGCCGACGCCCTGGAAGCAATTTTGGGTCCGGCAGAAGATCCGGGGGTGGGCAGCAGATGGGCACGGTGACCTTTGGTGCCATCCCATCTCCCAGTGGGTGGCTGAGGAGGCTTTTTGAGGCCTGGTTGCCAAAACTGGTGCTGCCAGACTGTCCTGGCACCCTCCCCCGCTCCGGAGCCTGTCCCAAAATCCTCTTCTCGGGATTGGACCGTGTGGGTGTTGCAGAAAGATTGATCAGGGAGACAGGAGAGAGTGGGATCCTGTGGGGCTGGAGCAGCTTAAAGGCAGAAGCAGGAGAGGATGATGATGATGGAGATGGGTTTGGGTGGGGATACAAAGGACAGGGAAAAACCTTTCCCCCAAAAATTTGGAGGCTTTTTGACATCCTGGTAAATTTAAGGCACTGAAGGAAGCAGAAATCTGCAGGAAACGCCTAATTTGGGGAATTTTTTTTTGCCTGCTCTTGGGATCTGCCTCTCCCTGACCTCCCTGTCACAATAACAACTCTTTTGCTTCCGTAACCAGCTGGCAACAAACTCCTTACTCTGCAGATTAATCCCTCAGGGAATGCTGACATGGCAAGAGCTGGCACGGGCAGAGCTCCCAGCCCTGGAGCTGCCACTTCCCAACCCTCTGGATGCCGATGCCAGGCTGCTTACCAGGCTTTTGGGATCTTCTGTTTGGCCCAACAAAGCTCCCTGGAATTTTCTGGGTTGCTTCTTATCACACTCTTGTGACCAGGGAAGGAGATCCCTGAGAGCCAGAGGGGATTAGGAACAGCTTTGGCTGGAAAATCGGAGTTTAAAGAGCCCAGTGTGGGGCTTGGAGAGCCTGGGAGAGCTGTATCCATGTCCGTTTCTCCATGGAAAAACACCTTGGTTGCACTGGGAGCTCTCTGCCTGTGCAGGGTTCCCTGGCACAGCAGGGAAGGCTCAGCTCCCTAATTAATTAATTAATTAATTACACTTTAATCAGCCTGTTCTGAGTGACAGGCTGGGAAAGCTGGGGGTGTTCACATGGAGAAGAGAAGGATCCAGGGAAACCTGAGAGCCCCTTCCAGGGCCTTAAGGGGCTCCCGGAGAGCTGGAGAGGCACCTGGGACAAGGGAGGGAGGGACGGCACACAGGGAATGGCTTCCCACTGCCAGAGGGCAGGGTTAGATGGGATATTGGGAAGGAATTCTTGGCTGGGAGGGTGTTGAGGGGCTGGAATGGAATTCCCAGAGAAGCTGTGGCTGCCCCATTCCTGGAAGTGTCCAAGACCAGGTTGGATCAACCTGGGCTAGTGGAAGGTGTGCCTGCCCATGGCAGGAGGTGGAACTGGATGATCTTCCAGGTCTCTTCCAAGCCAAACCATTCCATGATTGTCTGGTTGGTCTCCACCTCCAGGTGGGGAAAACCAAGGGCTCCCTGTTTCCAATCTGCTTCCAGATGGGAGCAAAGGAAGGAGGGAGGCAAAAGAGCCGGATATTGTGCTGTGCCCAGGACAAATCCTGCCCTTCATTCCAAATCCTGGTGGAGTTTTGACTGGGATAACTCATCCCTGTGCCCATCAGTGATGTCTTGGTTGTCCCAGGCTTTGGCTGGGCAAGAAGAAGATGGTGCTGAAGTTATTGGGGCCACCTGAATACAGACGTGGCTTCCTTGTCCCCACTGCCAGGGGGTTCTGAGTGGTCCTGACCTCTCTCTAAGCCCATTCCCACCCTTTTCCTTCCCACAGTGCCCTCGGAATCTGAGCTTCCAGAGCAGGAGAAGGCTTTCATGCAGTTCTATGTCACCATGCCAGAGGGACCATCGCTCCGTGTCCTGCTGCAGGATCCCGAGGAGAGGAGGAAGCTGGGTGAGCACATCTCTGGGGACAGAGGTCATTTAGGTGTCCACAAAGGGGTGTGATGAAATTTTGAGGGGATCTCTCCATGCAAAGACACATTTTGGTGGGATTTCTTGGCAAACAGGCTCTCCTGGGAGGGCAGGAAAGCATCACAATCTCCTTTAGGGTGTTGAGGACCAACTTGTGGTGCCTTCACCAACCTGTCCAGCTGTGTTTGGCAGTGAAAACTCCAAGTGTTCTGAGCCAGGTGGCATCACCCTTCTGGAGAAATCCGTAGGGATACAGAGATCCTGGAAGCTCCTGGGCTTGGGCTTGGCTTGGCAGTAAAACCTCCATGTGTTTGGCAGTGAAACCTCTGGGTGTTCTGAGCCAGGTGGCATCACCCTTCTGGAGAAATCCATAGGGATACAGAGATCCTGGAAGCAACTTGGTTTGGGCTTGGCTTGACTTGGCTTGACAGTAAAACCTCCAGGTGTTCTGCCCCAGGTGGCATCACCCTCCTGGAGAAATCCATAGAGACACAGAGATCCTGGAAGCTCCTGGGCTTGGGCTTGGCTTGGCAGTAAAACCTCCATGTGTTTGGCAGTGAAACCTCTGGGTGTTCTGAGCCAGGTGACATTGCCCTCCTGGAGAAATCCATAGGGACACAGAGATCCTGGAAGCTCCTGGGCTTGGGCTTGGCTTGGCAGTAAAACCTCCATGTGT